TTCCCACAAAACGACGTCGTCGAAGAATGCTTCAACTTTTTCATGGATGAAGAAGACCTTTCCTCTTCTTCTTCTCACCACAACCACAATCCTCATAACTACTACTCTCCTTTCACTACTCCTCCTCCTCCTGCCCAATACCATCCCGCCACGTCATCAACACCTTCCTCCACCGCCGCAGCCACCGCTTTAGCCTCACCCTACTCTTCCTCCGGCCACCACAATGACCCTTCTGCTTTCTCCATCCCTCAAACTCCTCCTTCCTTTGACTTCTCCACCAATGCCAAATGGGCTGACTCTATCCTCCTCGAAGCCGCACGTGCCTTCTCCGACAAAGACACCGCACGTGCGCAACAGATCCTTTGGACACTCAACGAGCTCTCTTCTCCATACGGAGACACCGAGCAAAAACTAGCTTCTTACTTCCTCCAAGCTCTCTTTAACCGCATGACCGGTTCAGGTGAACGATGCTACCGTACCATGGTAACCGCTGCAGCCACCGAGAAGACTTGCTCCTTCGAGTCAACACGCAAGACCGTCCTCAAGTTCCAAGAAGTTAGCCCCTGGGCCACGTTTGGACACGTGGCTGCAAACGGAGCGATCTTGGAAGCAGTAGATGGTGAGGCAAAGATCCATATCGTTGACATAAGCTCGACGTTTTGCACTCAATGGCCTACACTTCTTGAAGCTTTAGCCACGAGATCAGACGACACGCCTCACTTGACACTAACCACAATAGTCGTGGCTAACAAATTCGTCAACGACCAAACCGCGTCGCATCGGATGATGAAAGAGATCGGAAACCGAATGGAGAAGTTCGCTAGGCTAATGGGAGTTCCATTTAAATTCAACATTATTCATCACGTTGGTGATTTATCAGAGTTTGATCTTAACGAGCTCGATATTAAATCAGACGAGGTCTTAGCCATCAACTGCGTAGGTTCCATGCATGGGATCGCTCCACGTGGGAACCCTAGAGACACTGTAATATCGAGTTTTCGACGCCTAAGGCCGAGGATTGTGACCATCGTGGAAGAAGAAGCTGATCTTGTAGGAGAAGAAGAAGGTTTTGATCATGATGAGTTCTTGAGAGGTTTTGGAGAATCTTTGCGTTGGTTTAGGGTTTGTTTTGAGTCTTTAGAAGAGAGTTTTCCGAGGACGAGTAACGAGAGGTTGATGCTAGAGCGTGCGGCGGGACGTGCGATCGTTGATCTTGTGGCTTGTGAGCCGTCGGATTCGACGGAGAGGAGAGAGACGGCGAGGAAGTGGTCGAGGAGGATGAGGAACAGTGGTTTTGGTGCGGTCGGGTATAGTGATGAGGTGGCGGATGACGTCAGAGCATTGTTGAGGAGATATAAAGAAGGTGTTTGGTCGATGGTGCAGTGTTCAGATGCTGCTGGAATATTCCTTTGTTGGAGAGATCAGCCGGTGGTTTGGGCTAGTGCGTGGCGGCCGACGTGAAGGGTTGGTTTTGATTTTTTGGTTTAAAATATTCACACGCGCGCTTTTTGGTTGAGATGGTTTCACACGTG